TGGTGAAGATCAAGGCGACAACGGTGCCATAACGACAAACGAAATGAATCAGCCACCTCAGCCGCAAGCGGACGGAGACGATGGCGGGAACAGTGCAAGCTTTGCGCCCATGACCGACATGGGTATCGGCTCGGATGACTTTGATGTCAGGAACGGATTCGACGAGGACATGACGGGTATGGGCGGAATGCCAGACTTTGCGACAGACCCTTCACCTTCGCCCAACTCGGGCGGTCTAGCGCCGAGCCCTCTAGAAGAAGAGCTCAGCTCTTCGCCCATGGCGCCGCATGAAGTCTTTGAGCCAACAGGGGACGAGTGGTTGGAAGATTTAATTTTCATCAATGACGACAAGTTTGTCGACAGCGAAGCGGTTTAATGTGCGTTGGGAATGATTAATGCGGAATTCTTGTGGTTCATGAACCTTCCTGTCCGGAGACGGGAAATGGATGTGGATTGTGCGGGAGGAAGTCGAGATATTATGTCTTGGATGCCCTTGCCGGATTTGTCGACCACAATTTTTTTTTTCTGGTTTTATTTCCCGTATACTTGTCTGTTTATGTTCTTCTACTGTTTACACTTATTTTCCTTGGGCTACTTTCAAGTCAGCTTAACCTTCTATCTTGTGTTATTTGGCTATGGATTGGTTGTCGCGCGCAAGTCACATATTAAGGGACTCGCAGAGGGATTTGAAGACTTGGAAGAAAACGGAAAGGGGGTTTAAGGGAGTTTGATCGCCGGGGTTTTCTTGAGGCGTTTTAAGTATTTATTCTATGGTATTTAGCTAGATTTTTTGCGCGAACACAAACAGAATTCCTTTTGTTGGGGGTCAACATTTTTGAGATTGTATTCTTTGTGTATTGGTATTGTTTGTCGCTCAGAGGTGGGCAAGATATTGTTAGTATATAGTAGATAGAAACCGACTTAATGACTTGCTTGATATTCTGTTTGCGTTATGGTAATCCTGAATCTTGCTGGTTTATAGCTGAATATTGACGAAACAATACGTGTTGGACTTTGCAATATATGTTGAGATTGATTTTGAAATTGGACCTCTGTCTTACTCTTGGAGAGAATAATGCTGACTACCTGAAGGTTGATCGTGAAGCTTTCGTGATTTTTCTTCTTCCTGATGCATTTAAGATCAATGCCCATCCCACAGCTTCTTGCTCGCGGTCGAATTCATTGGTACCGACCAACAGGGAGCGGAAATCCTGCCAGGGGAGCAAACACGGCTGATGTAGGTTTATCTCATTATTCCCTAAATACTGACACATGAGATTTAGTCTGCACTTTTGCTGTCAACAGATGCGAAATTGGTTCTTTGAACAGCTTGGGGGTCTTGAGTTTTAGCCAATGAGTGATTATACGCTTGTTGTTCCGATGCGGTCCTCTTTCATTCCATCTCGATATTGAAGCTTGACATCAGATCAAGACCCAGCTACCCAAGTAGCAAGACAACCATCTCTCTGCAGGTCACATATACAATATTGACACATGCCGTAGTTGAATAAGTCTACAACAAGTTTTCTCAACTCTGGGAAAAGGTAACAACGATATCATTGTGACAGTAATTATCTCCCAAGGCCAATCCCACTTTCTCTATTTTCTTCTTCCATCTTCCTCTCTTCCATCTAACGTCCTTTTTCCCCTCGAGGTAGCAAATAACGAACTTGCCCACGTTATTTTGTCTACCGTCTTGGCATCCCCCTTCCACGTCCCCTCAGAGCTCTCTGCGCCGCACCCGGAGGCAACGGCTTACCAGGCGCCTGCGGCGCCTGGCTCTCCTCGTTGCGAATCGTCTCGTCAACGCTGAGAATCAAACAGCTGGCCTCGGTGGCAGCCTGCAGGGCGTTGATCTTGACGAGTGCGGGCTCCCACACAAAGCGCTCCATCATGTCGGCGACGCCCTCGTTAACAAAGTCGACACCGGCCCACGTGTTGCCCTTGCGGTGCTCGACGCGCAGCTTATTGAGGATATCCGTGGCGTCGAAGCCGGCATTGTCGCACAGCTGCCGGGGAATGATCTCGAGGGCCTTTGCAAAGGACTTGATAATGCCCTGCTGCTTGTTGCGGATGTTGTTGTCGGCGAAGCGGTGCAGCGAGGCCGAGACTTCCATTTCGCAGGCGCCGCCACCGCCCACAATGGTGCGGTTGCGGATGGCACGCTTGACAATCATGATGGCGTCGTGCAGGGAGCGCTCAACCTCAGCAATGAACTGCTCGGCGCCGCCGCGCAGCACAAGCGTGCACGTCTTGGCCTCGGGGCAGTCCTCGAAGAAGTTGAAGCGCTCGCCGCCGATTTGGCGCTCTTCAAAGCTGCCGCAGGTGCCGAGGTGCTCGGCGTGAATATCGGAGCACGTTGACTGGATGGTGCCGCCAGTGGCCTGGACGATGCGCTCCATGTCGTCAGCGGCGACACGACCCGCGCAAAAGACATCGCGGTCGGCAAAGTACTGTGTGGCCAGGTCACCAATGGGCAGCTTGGACAGCACGACCTTGGCGCCCGTCTTGTAGATGTCCTCGAGCTTCTTGAAGATGATTTGCCACTCGGCGTCGACAATCGCTTGGTATTCCGAGACTTGCTCGACGCGCACCTCGGCGTTGTCCTTCTCAGCCTTGAGCTCCAGCTCGACGTTGAGGCAGACAATCTTGGGCTTGGTGAATTGCTTGGGCTGCTGCTCGAAACCGGCGTAGGAAAAGGTCTTCTTGAACGCGACACCGTTAACAAAGAGGGACTCGGTCAGCGAGCCACCGGGGATCTTCTTGACTCCTATTAACTTTTCGTTGAGATCGTCTTGGTCGAGGGAAAGGACGGCGTCAACAACCACTGAAGTGCATCTTTTGTTAGTATATCTAGCTCGAAATCATAGTCAGTACCAGGAAGCCACAACTCACTCTTGGTAAAGAACTCTGTATTCCGCTTGATCAGCTTGCTCGTCATGGCGGTTGCGGCAAGCTTGTTGAGCGTTTCTCTGTGATTCGCCTCGTCCGTGCTGATTGCAATCTCCTTGATCTTGTTGACGGCCATTGTCGATGCTTTCCGCAGGCCCTTGATAATGATCTGTGAACTGACGCCCTGATCCACGTGCTCCTTGATCTCCTTGAGGATCTCGCCGGCCAACACCACAACGGAAGTAGTGCCGTCGCCAACCTCTGCATCTTGTGATCTTGCAATGTCGACGAGGATGCGAGCAGCGGGGTGGACAATGTCGAGCAGCTTCATGACGGTCGCGCCGTCGTTGGTGATTGTCTGTCTGCCATTCTCATCGACCATAAGTAGGTCGCCGCCGTAGGGACCGAGCGTCGACTTGATTGTGTTTTGGACGGCCAAGCAGGCGTTGATGTTGGAGATGATCTGGCCTCTGCCCTGGGAGGCATCGGTGCCTGGACGACGGCAAACACGGTCAGCAAGGGTCTCTCTCTAGGGCCTGGGAACTGGGAACTGTGGAGGGGTAAACGGACCCTCCTTGAGGACAATGATGGTGGGAGTTTGCCCGCCAAACGACATTTTGGACGAGACGGTCAGGCCGGGAGGATAGCGGTGCGGAAAGGTTCTGGTATAAAGAGGACAGAGAGCGGCCGGTGAGGTAGGAGGAGGTGCGTCTTGTGTCGTGATGCGGCAGCAGCAGCAGTAATAGGAGCACTTTGACGGTAGGGATTTGGGCGGTGGACGACGCGTGGGGTTCGTTTCTAGCTCCCCGTCCCAATCTCGAAAAATTGTTGATGCCGCCTAAGGAGCTCAGCATGTACCCAGGTACCCTCTGCTGCTGTCCCACCCTTATGTAAGCCAGTGAGCTGCACCAGGTAGCGGGGCACTTTCCCTCAGACAGGCCTTCAACTTCACCTCTACATAGCATATATCCATCTGAGAATTCGAACCATCGGCTACGTTCTGCTGCTAGTCAGTGACCGCAAGCCACGCATGGATTATCCATCGAAAAGGGATATTCACGCAAGTCAGAGGTCGCTCGAAGACCGTCCGAATGTATCGTATTTATGCCGCCAGCTGCCGAAGTCAAGGCCATTCACTATGTGCATCGTCTTTCAGCGATGGCTCCAGAAATGCTGGGTTGTCTTGGCCTTCGGAGTCGCTATACAGGAATTGCAACGGTCCACGCAACAACCATCAAGCCACGAAATTTGAGGAGTGTATTGACAAGGATTGTCATCCTGCAGTAGTTGAGCTGCAATGTCGGAAAGCTGCAGTCCTCAGCCATGACTGAAGAGAATCAGAACTTCGTCCACGAGTGCCACTAATTGCCTTCAGTCATTCCGTCAAGAATTTTTTGAACCTGATATGCAGGAGATCATGCTTCTCTAGCTAGCAATCATTCAAGCGTGGGAAAGCAGCGATTTTTGCCAACATCATGGTTTACATCCACGTTCGCTTCAATCTCATGCTCTGCTGTGATTCGGTTGGTCACTGCGCCAAACTTCCATGGCCCGCTTTATCGGTACGTTTTGATCTTCTTCCCGAACAATATTTAGGCATTTCGCAACACCTTCCTCAATCTGCTTTGCATGCTTTACAGGAATTTAGATGTTGGAGGTTTGATTTGATACAAGAATGAGCTGGATTCGTGGCACGTGGTTTGCACGTACTTACGTGGAAACCGTAATGTATCATACAAGTTTGAAGTAAAAGGAAGCGGGAGACATATGGCGGGCGCGCGTCTTCTGGAAGGCTCAGAGCCACAGTCGCTGGATCATTGCTTGCTGTCTTCCAAGGCTGCAATGAAGCACCTGGAAAGCTTGTATCCAAGTGGAAGCTGATTTGCAGCGGTTGAACATCACTTGTCAGACATTTTACAACCACTGCCACGATGCGTTTCAATCGTGCTAGCTTCCGTTTTGCCTCTCAGTTGTCTATAGGTGCTAAAACTCCTGTTCTGTGAACACATTCGCTCTTTGGAACAGACAGACAGCATCTAAGGCAATAATTTGCCATTCAATTGAAGGTTCATAATTAATCTAAAATAGTTGGGTATTCAACAATAAATGGTTGCGTAGTGTAATGGTTATCACATCGGATTCTGATTTATCACGATCCTTCCGGTAATCTGAGTTCGATTCTCAGCGCGACCTAGTTATTTACCATTTTGGTTTGTACCAAATATGTCAAATTTTATTGATCTCGATATCTTGAATTGTGTAAGCATTATTAAATTTTGCTGGAAGAAAGAAAAGTTCTGTACAATTCATGTTGCAGAGCGAGAATACATCGAATATAGAGTGGAGCGGTTGAGCAGCAGTGTTCTATCCAATTTATCATTCAGCCAACAGATAAACCACAATTAGCCAATGAGTGGCGCTAAAGCCAATTGCACTACGACGTATTTGCGAACTTTGGGGTTTTTTTTTTCCCTCGTTATCTCGTCAACATTTATGAAGGTTTATATCCAGTGAAAAGAATAGTAGTGTGCTATGAATCCAGAAAACTGCGGATAAAAATACCTAGATGATTTTGAAAATGCAACACGACGGACATTTAAGTAGAACGCGGGCAGCCAAATTTTCCATTTACTCATTGCTAGCAGTGTGAAGGCAGATCTCTCTTAAGTGATAGCTAAAAAGGGTACAAAATAGCGTTAGATAGTCTTGAGAACACCTTCGTGATAATTTGTTGTTGCGTCTACGCATGTAACCGTGGTTTGCTGACGGACGGCTAGAAGTGTTCCATCTGACCATATGATGACAATTCTCAAGCCAGCGACGATGTTCATGATGTTGGTAGCGACTTGATTTAGCTTGCTGGCGCTTGTTCAACATGTAGCTTTTTAGATCGACAGGGTATAACAACAACCTGCGCAATAATGTGTTTTCATCTTCAATGACAGCTTCAAACAAGGCACTGGGTGTGCGCTCGTTACTGACTAAACTGTGGTTGAAGACAGTGGGACAGGAGCAGTGATTTACACCACCTGAACCAATGCTACTAATGTCAGAAGATAATCGGCATTGAAGCACACAGCCTTTACGTTCAGTACTCTCGAGATGCTGTATTGCGATCGATGAGGTGGTATCGCTGGCCTGTGTCGCAGTCAGTGTTGTCAAGAACACCAATAAATCCCAACCGATCTTGACCTTGAAGCTACACTCTGAGACTTCAATTTCATGCATTGATTCTCCGATTATGTAGTATGGCCCCGAATAACAGTTTCTGCTCCATTCCAAAATGATGCGACATCTTCAAATTTGCCCATGAACTCAAAGTCTTGTGCGTGTGGTTTGTCGGCCATTGTATCTGCGTGGGCTCGGCCGAATCAGACTTTTTTTTTGGTGTGTGTGTATGTGTGTGTTTTATAGTCTTCGGTCTGGCTCTTTTTCCCAGTCAGTTCGCAAGTTGTTGGTCTCGACTAATTAATTGCCTTGGTACCTGGATATACATACAGACGGAATCGAATTCTACTCGCTCCGAATGCAACATGATGCAATATCAGGCGCAGACACGACGACGAGTCAAAGGATTGCCTGAAAAGAGACGCACCGGGATGTCGAGAAAGCGTCGGTACCTCCAGCGCGTATGTTTGGACTTCATTACCCAAGATTTATCCTGGGAACAAGCAACGGCGAGCAGGAGAAGTCTGCTAAGGGCAGCCCAGCCAGCTCTGTGGTTCCGCGATTGCTTTGGAAGCGTACTTGGTATTGTGATCTGTGAAAAATTTGAAACATGAGAGTAGGCAGGTATTCCTATGTGATTCAGTGCGTGATTCTTCGTAAAATTTACTGAATCAGATTGTATGATGTAACCTTCTGGTAATTATGCGCTGGAGAACGTCCGCTTGCACTAAACCTGATAATTATTCAAGGCGTGTCGAGAAATACCAAATGTACAGATTATGCTTGTCTTAATATCTCCAGTCAAGACGTTTGCCTGATACAAGCAGCACCGTATAACTGTTAATAATACAACATTATAGATCACAAACTTTGTCTTGAGGGTGACTACCACACAAGTGATAATGAGCTATAAAACCGGTTTAGAAAGCTGAAATTGAAATTTCCATCGTGTTTAAACCGTGCGCCTTTCTTTAACCAAACCTCAGTCTGCAAATTCTTCATCTGCTGGACCATGGGCCTAGGTACATGTGTACCTACGACTGGCAGTAGTCCGTGCTTTCAGGTGACACTTGGAATTTTTGATTGGTCGATTTGACTTAGACAAGGCTGAAGGTGGCCCGTGCTTCTTCGCATTACCTGGACACCACAGCTCATGTGATGAAGTAATGTATTACCACCCTGACCTCGCTAAGAAGAGTATTAAGACCTCCGGCCGTAGGTACGGCTCTTTCCTTATCACAATCAACATCAATTCCTTTTCTGCTCTCATTTTGCTGTTTAACGCGAGACTTGCGCATCGTCCCACCCAATGGCAATGCTTCTTACATCGAAACCCATCTTTCACCAATTTATATCAGGGAGCATTCCATATTTGGCATTGTTTGAAGCATCAGACCTTATTTGTCTCGGGCCCCCTGTCCGTTCTAATTTCATCTTAAATGCTGCTTCCTACTGCTCAGACTGCTAAGTTTTGAAGCTTTTTTCTTTTTTCTTTTTCTTTTTCTGCTAAAATGGGGCTCAATCAAATGCACATCGAGCCCTAACTTGATCAAGACTCGATAACGCACAGTTCAATCGCTTACTTATACCATCTTATATTGCCAACCATGGGCAGATATTATGTGTCTTTGGCTTACATTGGACTTTGAGATCTGCAAAGCTAACAATCCGTTCGATTCATAACACGACCATACCAGCCCTACCACAAACTTGCCAAGTCTAAATCGGCCAAGAATACAACCACTTCACTGGTCAGCTCTTGGAACCACCCTTGTTTTGTCGCTGAGGGTCTTGCCACTGCCGGCCGGAACTTGTGCCTCGATGGTTCTGATAACAGCAAAAAAGACAATGTTATTGGTCTTGGTAGTGTTGAAGCGCAGGAGGCAGAGACTGTAGATAATGCTAGCGATATCGGCTCGATATGAAACACGAACAACATGCCCGATGTCAAGCCTGTGGCTGAGCAGATCGACTAGAACTTGATTGACTCGGCTCTGTGTCCTGACCGGCCCGCCAGTCAGCAGTCACAGCATATACAGGAACATCGCGCCGCCGGACTTGTTGTCCAACTCAAAAAGGTCTCTTCTTTGTAAGATTAAGAGAAACTTCTGGAGGCTGCGGATGAGGCTGCGGATAATATCTCTCCCATGGCACTGAAGCTGTGAAGGTCGGTGCAGGTGGATTGCGAGGAAAGCGTTCGAGGGGGGCGTTTGTCTTTTTTTGGGCGTCGCCCCGAGACGTGCTAAGACTGGGATTGCAAGGAGGCCTACGTACAACGGGGTTATGATCTGCCTTCATTTCCCAAGGTAGACATGCAACAATACAAAAAGAGACATGGATGTATCGAAGAATTTTGACATGGCCGAGCCCACTAGGCAGATATGCACGGGAGCATACGTCAACGGTGCGAACAGCGTGAGTCTGTTGCATTGGAATTTGTGTAGTTGAGCACGCAAAAAATACGACTAGTGACAACCCGAAAATCTTGTTCTTTTAGACCTCAATGTTCTGTTCAAATTGATCCCATAGGCAGGCACGCCGACAGGCAGGCACCAGCGCTTTGTAGCCAAGCAGCAGCAGCAGGTGCCCAGTAGACGTACCTTGGTTGCAGAAGACAGGCTGCATACAGCACAAGCCCCATTTGACCAGTCACCTCCTGCCTTCCCAAGCCAGCTCCCAGCCAAAGACTGCCTGACTGCCTCTTCATCCCAACCTGCCACCTAAATCTCCCATTCATCGTCTGTTCAGCAGACCACCTTCTTCAGACTCCGGTAGACTCAACAAACTCCAGCACTTCACCGTCTCAAACGACCGTCACAATGTCCCATGCTCCGATAGACAACGGCTGGGGCGGCAGTTCTGCCGACAGCGGTGCCCTCTGGGGTGGCGAGTCTGGCGAAATTACCACTTCGGCCACCACTCCACTCGAGATGGACGTGTCTGAGCCTGGTAACACGTCTGAACGGCAGTCCAGGGGCAGGCGTCTCCGCAAGGGAGATCTCGAGAAGTAAGTGCAATCGGCATGCCTTAGCTTGCTACCCTTTTGAGTTGAGTTGTCTGACATGACGTCTCTGCCGTGTACAGGCTGCTGGAGGACCGCCAGAGCGACGAAGAGAAGTTCGTCTCTGTCTGGCACCGCGCCGGTCGAAACAAGCCTCTACAGCTTGTCCTGGACAAGTTCCCCCGCAACGCTGCCATGACCTTTAGCCCCGTTTGGAAGAAGCAGCTCGAAGACGGTGCCAGTTCTGCGGTTCTGGTCATTGAGGATGAGTACTTGGCTCCCTACAAGCTCCTGTTCAAGTGGATCAACGAATGTGTCGAGAATGGCAACGACATCAAGTTTCCAGAGGTAATGATCTCGCAACAGCACCGTTCTGCTCACCTTGTCAATGTGACTGACCTGACTGACAACCCACCGCAGTTTGAAGACGAAAACGCCATCAACACCCTGTTTGATGTCCTCGTTGCCGCCAATCAAGTACAGATTCCCGAAATGTCCCTGCAGGAGCACCTCAAGAAGAGGGCCATCAAGCATGCTCGCAAGAGCCTGATTGGCTTGGACTATGTCGATGCTGTTTTTGACGAGAATCACTCCATGTATCTCGGACCTTCTCCTGCCCTGGAAGAGGCTGTCTGCGCTAGCATTTTCGAGGCCTGGTGGTCCCGAACGTTGGATGCACCTGACTATCAAAGTTACTCGGTTGGCGTCGAGGAGCTGAGGGAGATGTACCCCAAACTCAACGACGGCCTGAACGAGTGCTTTGAGAGCAAGAAAACATACATTGAGCAGAAGAAGACTGAGCGAAAGGGACAAAAGGGACAGCGAACTGCGGCCAGTTCCAGGGCCAACGACGACTACGGCAATGAGGGCAGCCACGAAAATATCAATGACTATGGCGGCTACAGCAACGACGGTGCCGATGGTGGATGGGGTAGTGCCGCCGATGCTACCATTGATACCGTTGGCGAGTGGGGTGCTCCAGATAGTGAGATCTCAGCCTGGTAGGCCATCGTCCTGAGGGTAC